CTGGGTTAATATAAATCCACATTACATACAGGGTGGGATATATCACACTGGGTTAATATAAATCCACATTACATACAGGGCTGGGATATATCACACTGGGTTAATATAAATCCACATTACATACAGGACTGGGATATATCACACTGGGTTAATATAAATCCACATTACATACAGGGCTGAGATATATCACACTGGGTTAATATAAATACACATTACATACAGGGCTGGGATATATCACACTGGGTTAATATAAATCCACATTACAAACAGGGCTGAGATATATCACACTGGGTTAATATAAATCCACATTACATACAGGGCTGGGATATAACACACTGGGTTAATATAAATCCACATTACATACAGGGCTGGGATATATCACACTGGGTTAATATAAATCCACATTACACACAGGGCTGGGTTAATATAAATCCACATTACACACAGGGCTGGGATATATCACACTGGGTTAATATAAATCCACATTACATACAGGGCTGGGATATATCACACTGGGTTAATATAAATCCACATTACATACAGGGCTGGGATATATCACACTGGGTTAATATAAATCCACATTACATACAGGGCTGGGATATATCACACTGGGTTAATATAAATCCACATTACATACAGGGTGGGATATATCACACTGGGTTAATATAAATCCACATTACATACAGGGCTCTGATATATCACACTGGGTTAATATAAATCCACATTACATACAGGGCTGGGATATATCACACTGGGTTAATATAAATCCACATTACATACAGGGCTCTGATATATCACACTGGGTTAATATAAATCCACATTACACACAGGGCTGGGTTAATATAAATCCACATTACACACAGGGCTGGGATATATCACACTGGGTTAATATAAATCCACATTACATACAGGGCTGGGATATATCACACTGGGTTAATATAAATCCACATTACATACAGGGTGGGATATATCACACTGGGTTAATATAAATCCACATTACATACAGGGCTGGGATATATCACACTGGGTTAATATAAATCCACATTACATACAGGGCTGGGATATATCACACTGGGTTAATATAAATCCACATTACATACAGGGCTGGGATATATCACACTGGGTTAATATAAATCCACATTACATACAGGGTTGGGATATATCACACTGGGTTAATATAAATCCACATTACATACAGGGCTGGGATATATCACACTGGGTTAATATAAACCCACATTACATACAGGGCTGGGATATATCACACTGGGTTAATATAAACCCACATTACATACAGGGCTGGGATATATCACACTGGGTTAATATAAATCCACATTACATACAGGGCTGGTATATATCACACTGGGTTAATATAAATCCACATTACATACAGGGCTGGTATATATCACACTGGGTTAATATAAATCCACATTACATACAGGACTGGGATATATCACACTGGGTTAATATAAATCCACATTACATACAGGGCTGGGATATATCACACTGGGTTAATATAAATCCACATTACATACAGGGCTGGGATATATCACACTGGGTTAATATAAATCCACATTACATACAGGGCTGGATATATCACACTGGGTTAATATAAATCCACATTACATACAGGGCTGGGATATATCACACTGGGTTAATATAAATCCACATTACATACAGGGCTGGTATATATCACACTGGGTTAATATAAATCCACATTACACACAGGGCTGGATATATCACACTGGGTTAATATAAATCCACATTACATACAGGGCTGAGATTATCACACTGGGTTAATATAAATCCACATTACAGAAAGGGCTCTGATATATCGCACTGGGTTAATATAAATTATGAAGGGCTGTAGTATAAATCTGTTGTACGTGAAGGGCGGTTATTATAAACTCGGGAAACTGAGCTGGGTATATTCTCTCTGGGTTAATATAAATCTTTTCGTAGCTAACACAGCTGCAGCTCAAAGGGATTTATTGTGACTCAGGAACAGTTTATTAAGGTCAAACTCTTGTGTTCTCTTGAATCATATTCTTTTATTAAGAGTTTGCCAAGTCAGCCATCTGAGCGAAGCTGTAATTCTCTGTCATGACCTGAGACACATAGAGCGTGACTAAGGTAATGCAGTCTGTTTTAAACATTGTTTTAATCTGTTACATTAAACTAACAGAGCAATTCCTGTTATTATACGCTTACCAGACATGGAGAAAACCCTAAAATACCATGTAGTCAACATGTTTATCGAAAACCTGTGACATAAAATTCAGCTGGTGCTGCGATACTGGAATGCAATTTTGTCTTCACTTACCCCTATAGCCAGTAACTTTACTTGGGCTGGAGCTGAAAGTTACATAGTTACATAGGCTGAAAAGAGACTTGCGTCCATCAAATTCAGCCTTCCTCACATTTGTTTTTTGAAGGCAAAAAACCCCCCAGTTTGATGCACTTCCAATTTTGCAACAAGCTAGAAAATTTTTTCCTTCTTGACCCCAGAATGGCAGTCAGCTTAATCCTTGGATCAAGCAGCTATTACCCTACATTGAATACTAATGTATATACTAAATCCCAGTCCCTCCCTCTATACCAAATCCAAGTATGCATCTAGTAGCCGTTTGAACATCTGTATGGACTCTAATAAAACCACTTCCTTATTGCTCTTAAAGTAAAAAAAAAACTTTCCTTTGCCTTAGACAAAATCTTTCTTCCAGTCTAAACGCATGACCTCGTGTCCTATGTAAAGTCCGGTTTATGAATAGATTTCCACACAATGGTTTGTATTGGCCCCGAATATTTTTGTATAATGTTATCATTATCCCTCTCAGGCGACGTTTTTGTAAACTAAAGAGGTTTAAATTTGTTAACCTTTCTTCATAGCTGATATGTTCCATTCCTTTTATTAATTGTTTAGCCCGCCTCTGCACTTTTTTCAGTGCCATAATATCCTTCTTTAGAACAGGTGCCCAAAATTGCACAGCAGATTCAATATGGGGTCTTACCAGTGATTTATAAAGAGGCAAAATGATATTCTCATCACGAGATTGAATGCCCTTTTTCATGCATGACAATACCTTACTGGCCTTGGCCACTGCTGATTGACATTGCACATTATTGCATAGTTTGTTGTCTTTAACAATTCTCAAGTCCTTTTCGTGTGTTGTTATCCCTAATTCGCTTCCATTAAGGGTATACCTTGCTTGTGTATTCTTTACGCCGAAGTGTATAACTTGGCATTTTTCAAGTCCCCCAGTTTATCTAAATCCCTCTGCAGCAAAGTAATATCTTGCTCACATTGTATTACTTTACAGAGTTTTGTGTCATCTCTTGGGTACTGAAGTTGGGTACTGAAAATATCTGGTTTTAATTATGACACCATTTCATTGTTAGTCCTGAGTCCCCTGAGAAAGAATGACACCTATTAAATCATTTGTGACAGTGCCACTAGTGGTGTATTTTGAGTTTGTGCTGTTCTAGGCATGATTAAATCCGTTACCCCCAAACCTAAATCCCCTCCCCTCTTCATGTGAAGGCTGCACCTCTTCCTGTTTAAGACTAACACACAATTTGACTGACACACACGCCCTCACTGATACATACAGACATACAGTTACTGACAGACACAGTCACAGTCATTGGCGCACACACACTTTCACTGACATACACTGACATACTCACTGACAGCCATACACTCACTGACAGTCATTGGCATACACACTCACTGACACACCCACTCACTGACAGCCATACACTCACTGACCGTCATTGGCACACACTCTCACTGACAAACACACAGTGACATACACACACCCTCACTGATTTAACACACTCTGACAGACACACATATTCACTGACAGAAACACATCCTGTGATTTTTTTAAATTCTTTATTTTATTTGTGCAGGGAGATTAGATACAGCTCACAATGCCACAACAGTTAGAGCAAGCAGAGCTTCAGACATAGGGTTGCAGTGGTTAGGCAGTAGATAACATGGCACATTTTTATGGATTATTATCGCATGACAAAGCGTTACATCCAATCTTATTATTGATGAAAGTAATGAACAAGATTAGTAGGCATGTGCATGGGGAAAATATTCGGCTCGGTTCGGCATTCCGAAATTCGTGACTTCGTCAATTCAGGAATTCGGCAATTCGGGACTTCGGAACTCCGGCATTTTGGGAATTTTCTTGCAGCCGCTTGGTAGATAACTCCCTAATTCCCACGGTATCCCTCTGGCGCCAGAAGTGCTTGTAGGCCGCACTGAGTGTCAGCATGACGGCACTAGCTACACTGGCATTGATTTTGGTATCAATCGATTTGTTGTGATCATTGCTGTGCAGTCTGCGGTATTTTGCGGTATGAACTGCTGGCTGGCTTAGTTTAGAGGAGTTTTGCTGTGTGGCGCCCAGGAGCTCATTAAGCATGCTTCCATTCAGCCCGCCAGTCACGCTCCGCTCCCTCCACATCCTCTGATTTAACACGCTCTGACAGACACATATATTCACTGACAAACACACACCCTCACTGATTTAACACACTCTGACAGACACACATATTCACTGACAGAAACAGATCCTCACTGATTTAACACACTCTGACAGAAACAGATCCTCACTGATTTAACACACTCTGACAGACACATGCGCATCCACTAGCACACACACACACACACACACACATTCTCTTGGTCACCCATGCCACGATGGTAATGAGGCAGTTGCTGGGGCGTTTAGGGGCAGCCTTTTTGGAAAGTGCTGCTCAAGGCAATGCCTTTTTAGCCTCGCCGTAGATACAAAGTAGAGTGATACTGAGGTTATACAGCACAGTGTGGGGGTATGGCTGTCAGAGGAGGATTTATCATAATGTGACTTAAGGCAATACTCCGCAATACTAGGGGTTGATAGAACTTATCTAATCTTTAGGGACTCTAGATCTCATTAAAGTAAAAGAAAATGTTTTGTTTTTACTTATTAATGACTAAAGCTGTAAAGGAATTAAAATGAAAATTTTCTGCAGTGAGCTCCCAGCATGTTATTCTATAGAATAACATGCTGGGAGCTCACTGCAGAACATTTTCATTTTAAGGAATTAGTGAAAAAAGACACAGGCGGTTTGTCTTGCAAAGTCCTGGCATGAAGCTGCTTCCAGCTGGCAAAACAGGGCTTCAGTATAATCCTGAAAGGAGTTATGGAGAGTGACATAGCCAGGGTTCTATGGCATTTATTCAAACACTTGGAAATAAGGCAATTTCTAGCGGCATTGTATATTCTCTGCAGGGTTTGAGTTTTTTACTTTTGAATTTAAAACACATATTGCTTTAATATTTTTTAAAAAAGTTGTGCCAATACAGCTGGTGTCCTGCCAAGTACCTTCCTATTGATACACTCTAAGACAAGCATGTCAAACTCAAAGGCTAGCACAGGCCAAATATACACGGTTTAAGTTTATGTGAAAAGTATATATATAATAAAAAACATCATCCCTCTCTACTAAACCCCAGCCCACAATATATATTAAATCTCAGTCCCCCCCTCTATGCTAAATCCCAGTCCCTCCCTCTATACTAAATCCCAGTCCCTCCCTCTATACTAAATCCCAGCCCCCCATTATACAAAATCCCAGTCCCTCCCTCTATACTAAATCCCAGTCCCTCCCTCTATACTAAATCCCAGTCCCTCCCTCTATACTAAATCCCAGTCCCCCTCTATACTAAACCCCAGCCCACAATATATATTAAATCCCAGTCCCTCCCTCTATACTAAATCCCAGCCCCCCCCTCTACTAAATCCCAGCCCCTGCATTATACTAAATCCCAGTCCCTCCCTTATACTAAATCCCAGTCTCCCCCTCTATACTAAATCCCAGTCTCCCCTCTATACTAAATCCCAGCCCGTCCTATACTAAATCCCAGTCCCCCTCTATACTAAACCCCAGTCTCTCCCTCTATACTAAATCCCAGTCCCCCCCTCTATACTAAAACCCAGTCTCTCCCTCTATACTAAATCTCAGTCCCACCCTCTATACTAAATCGCAGTCCCCCCTATACTAAATCCCAGTCTCTCCCTCTATACTAAATCCCAGTCCCATCCTCTATACTAAATCCCAGTCTCCCCCTCAATACTAAATCCCATTCCCCCCTATGCTAAATCCCAGTCACACTCTATACTAAATCCAAGTCCCATCCTCTATACTAAAAAAAACAAAGTATTAGCCAACAAGCAGACTCCACTCACATTGCTGCTGCCAGCATGTGACTCCGGAGTCCAGCCTCTGGTATACGCCCTATGGCACCGTCCGCACCCTGTGCCAAACCAGATCCTCCCGCTACTCCTTTAAACCATGTGAAGGTAAGTATGTTGAGATCATGTTGAATTGTGACGTGGCGTTGCGTGCCTCCGTGCACATCCAGGTCCTCCACTGTCCAGCCACAGCCAACACGCACTGACAGACACGCACACTCACTGACAGACACGCACACTCACTAACAGAGACACGCATTTCACTAACGGACACAAACACTCACTCACTGACAGACACATATACACACACACACTGACAGACACACACATACACTGACAGACACTTACTGACAGACACACACAGTGACAGACAGACACACAATTTACACATTCTTGCACACACTCACATATTTTATTTATTGCTTATTGCTACCTTTGGTAGCTGGTTTGGGGCCTCTCCTAGGGTCCAGTGGGGTCTCCATAGGGTCCAGTGGGGTCTCCCTTCCTGATCCTCACGCAGTTAAGTGATGCCGGGCCGGGATTACGTCATATCCCGGCGCGTGCGAGCACAGACCGCATGCGAGCAGTGTGGAGCAGGAAGAACAGACTGCGCTCGCTACTGCCAGCTTCCTCTTCACCTGGCCGGGTACATTTTTGCAGAGTAGGCACCTGCAATGTGGGGAGAGCAGTAACAGTAGGCATGTCAAACTTGCAGCTTGCTGGATCGCAAAAATATTCACAGTGAATTTTTAAATATATTTTTTATTTGGGCAGTGGGGTGTCCCTTTAAAGGAGCACTATAGGGTCAGGAACACAAACATGTATTCTTAAACCCCAGTGTGCTGATGCTTGTTGTGCCTCTGATCTGCGTGCTTGGCTGACATCATCAGAAGTGGATTGGCATTGGATTGGCTGAGCTTGTAAAGGAGGCAGATCAGGGGCAGAGCCAGCACAAGCCAAAAATAGCCCTGGCCAATCAGCATCTCCTCATAGAGGTGCACTGAATCAATAAGGAAAGTTCAGTGTCTCCGTGCACTGTGCACAGGGCTGGGGCAAGGATTTTTGCCACCCTAGGCAAACACAAATGTGACATCACAATGCGCCCCCCCAATATGATCTGCCCACCATGTGACATCACAATGCCCCACCCATATGATCTGCCATATGAGCCAACGCCAGTGCTGCACACAGTATGTGTTTACATTAAAAAGCCTGCTATAGACACCAGAACCACTACATTAAGCTGCAGTGGTTCTGGGGACTATAGTGTCACTTTAATGTTAGGTAAATTAGAGAATAGTGCCACTAATAATATACTAGATTGCCTACTTACCACCAGATGAGGATGATGATGGGCTCAGGCTGCAGTGTGGCTCCACTGGTCTGGTGTTAAAACAGGCTCTCTGGAGGCGGTGCTCACAAATATCAACAAACAGGAAGCAGCTCCTTTTTTTACAGGGTGTGACCATGAATATACCTACAAGGCCTGCCCATAAGCCTTATGCCTTCAAGGCCCACCCATGAAGGCATATGTGTGTAGGGGATGTATGTGTGTAGGGGATGTCTTATGTGTAATTGTAGAGGATGTAATGTATGTGTGTTCTTATGGAATGTAGTGTATAGTGATACCAGTTTGTGTAAGGGATGTAGTGTGTGTTCATAGGGGATGCAGTGAGTGTGCGCGCGTAAGGGATGCGTTGTGTGTTTTTGTATGTAAGGGATGCATTGTGTGCCTCTGTGAATGTGTGCAAGGCTGCATTGTGTATGTGTAAGGGATGCATTGGGTGTGTGTAATCGATGCATCGTGTGTTTCTGTGTATGTATGCAAGGGCTGCATTGTGTGTGTGTAATTGATGCATTGTTTATTTCTGCGTGTGTAAGGGAAGCATGGTGTATTTCTGTGTGAGTGTAGGATGCATTGTATGTTTCGGAGCATCTGTATGCGAGACCCTTAATTATCTCTTTCACTCCCCCCGTCCCTTAGTGGTCTCATTTTGCACAGTCTGTTGCTCTTCATAATTCATTTTCTGCACTTTCAGAGTGTAATGGTGTTTGTGGAGAGAGGCACTGAGGCTTGTGGTGTTGTGGAGAGAGGCACTGAGGCTAGTGGTGTTGTGGAGAGAGGCACTAAGACTAGTGGTGTTGTAGAGAGAGTCACTGAGGCTAGTGGTGTTGTGGAGAGAGGCACTGAGGCTAGTGTTGTTGTGGAGAGAGGCACTGAGGCTAGTGGTGTTGTGGAGAGAGGCACTGAGGCTAGTGGTGTTGTGGAGAGAGGCACTGAGGCTAGTGGTGTTGTGGAGAGAGGCACTGAGGCTAGTGGTGTTGTGGAGAGAGGCACTGAGGCTAGTGGTGTTGTGGAGAGAGGCACTGACTAGTGGTGTTGTGGAGAGAGGCACTAGTAGTGGTGTTGTGGAGAGAGGCACTGAGGCTAGTGGTGTTGTGGAGAGAGGCACTGAGTTGAGTGGTGTTGTGGAGAGAGGCACTGAGGCTAGTGGTGTTGTGGAGAGAGGCACTGAGACTAGTGGTGTTGTGGAGAGAGGCACTGAGGATAGTGGTGTTGTGGAGAGAGGCACTGAGGCTAGTGGTGTTGTGGAGACCGCCTTGGAGACTATGGTGAGGCCTAATAGAAAGCAGTTGTTGTTGGGTGATTCCATTATAAGAGGTGTGGAGATGGACAATGGTGGTCTTGTGAGATGTCTTCCTGGAGCTACTGCTCACAGAGACAGGAGACGTATCTGTAATATTATTAAGCAAGCAAAGCAGGAAGGGGAATTGGATGTACTTGTCCATCTAGGGACAAATGACTTGGCTTGCAATGAGGTTTCAGAGGTTAAGGAAGTTTTTAGTGTTTTTGCCAATGATATACGGCAGGTTGCTTCCACACTGTCATTCTCTGAAGTTCTGCCTGTGCATAACACTCAGAACGACAGGCGGATGCGTATTAGGGACTTTAATTTGTGGCTTGGTGAATGGTGTCGGAGCAAGGATTTGGCTTTATTTCTCATGGTAGCTCTGTTTGGAATGGATATAAGCTGTACAAAAAAGATGGTTTGCATCTTTCTCAAAAGGGAACAAATGTTCCCAGTGAGCAGTTCAGAGGTTTTGCTAGGATGTATTTAAACTAGGAGGGGGGGGCAAAAGGGTGATAAAACATCAATCCAATTGTCCCCCAAAACAAGGACAGAAGGTGCCTGTAGCAAGTGTGTTAAAAAACGATAAGCTTAGAGTCATGTCTACAAATGCTCGCAGTTTAGGGAATAAGATCCATGAACTTGTGGCAATAATGGCAACTGATAGTGTAGATTTAGTCGCTGTTACTGAGACATGGTACAATGAGAAAAATGACTGGGACATAGCAATACCAGGGTACTCTTTATATAGGAAAGATAGGGAAGGCAAGAAAGGGGGAGGGGTGGCCTTGTATGTGAAGGATAGCATAAAATCTAGCCTAATAAAAGTTAGTGAGGCAAACATAGAGTCCGTTTGGGCTACGTTAGAATTTGGTAATCACACAGTAACTCGTGTAGGTGTGATTTATAGGCCCCCAGGACAAATTGAAGAGTTAGATAATCTACTAGTTGAGGAAATAGCTAAAATGACAATGAAGGGGGAAGTTATCATCATGGGTGACTTTAATCTTCCTGATGTAAATTGGAAAACAAAATTAGCTACTTGTGCCAGGAGCACACATATTCTAAACTCAATACTGGGATTGTCTCTAAAACAAGTTGTTGAGGAGCCAACTCGTAAAGAGGCCATACTAGATTTAGTGTTAACAAATGGAGATTTGGTATCAGATGTTACTGTAGGTGAAAGTTTAGGATCCAGTGATCATCAGTGTGGTTTAATA